GGGGGGGGGGGGAGGGAGGGACATACATCTCTCGAGTTAACATCATAAGAGTGTAAAGGTGATATGGCTGCGAGCGGTACAGGACAGACGGCATGCGTGGTGAAGGGCATGGGCAACGGCATAAACCCGGTAGATGCCAATGCCTCCACCACCGCCAGCGTCAGCCGCTCGGTCGACCGAGTCGTCGGTTCTGATGACATGTTCCGGGTCGACGTGACGGTGGAGGCACCTGCCTCTGCGCCGGTGGCATCGTCGGCGGTGACGCTCCTGCTCGACTCGTCAGGATCGATGGCCGGCTCGCGAATGCAGCTGCTGAAGGATGCCATGAAGCAGGTCCTGCTGCTGCTGGAGGAGCGCGGCATTACGTTCTCGCTCATCGAGTTCAGCTCGTCACCGCGCATCCTTGTCCGCACCGGCCAGGCATACAAGCTGGCAACTGCAGCAGTGGAGAAGCTGCGAGCTTCAGGTGGAACCGCCATGGGTGCCGCCTTACAGACCGCATTTCACTTGGCGGCGGCAAGCGTCAACAAAGAGCGCCTCCACACCATCATTCTCTTTACCGATGGCGAGGCCCACGACCCCGACGCAACAACGAGCGTCCTCCGCACCACGATCGATTGCCTGCCGGCCGGCCATCAGCTCTCGCTCCACACCGTGGGTATGTCATCGGAGCACAATGCAACGTTTTTGCAGCATCTTGCCAACATCGCCTCTGGGCGCTACACGTATGTGGCTGGTACGTCCGCCGACGAGGTCGACGTCTTTGCTCAGCAGTTTGGCCACATCCTCGGCCACGTCTCGTCCATCGTGTCGATGAAGACGACGCTCGACGTCGTCGCCCGCGACGGCTGGATCATCGAGGACATGGTTGCTCCCTTTGGCTTCACCATCTCCAACCCGACCGGAGCGAGCAAGCCTGTCTGGACCGCATCTCTCGGCATGCTTGGCACGGAGCAGCGTTTGGTCGTCGCGGTCTTTGTCCGCCCACTCTTGGCCGCCCCGACAACGCTGAAGGCGCGCAGTCGTTGTTCCCGCTGGAAATCGTCACAGCTACCGCCACCATGGCCCCAACCTGGAAGCCAGCAGCCACCTCGTCGGCGGCTATCCCGCAGTCCTTGGAGGTTGGCGACGATGACAGCCCCAGCGCCCGATCGCAGCGCGCGCGCCTGCTCACGGTCAAGACCCTCAAGGGCCTCGCCGCCGACTGCTCGCTCGCCAACACCCAATCTGCTGTCGACACGCTCAAAGATATTGGTGTCGTGTCGCGCCCAACTCCACTGGAGACCTCGCTCCGCCACGATCTAGACGCCGTTCTCGTTGCGCCCGCCAGCGCCGCCTCGCTTCCGGACACACGCTGCCTCCTCCACACTGCCGGCGTTTACGAGACTCAGCTGCCAGCAGCCGATGCGGGAGACTGCTTTGTCACAGGAGCCATCAAGGACATGTCCGTCACCCTCGATGGCTTTCTCTCCCGATCCGTCGCTCCGGCCATCCACGACACCGCCAGCCAGCTCCAGAGCGCCAACTTGGACCCCAGCACGCCGCCGCCAGCTCCCTCGCAGTCGCGCACAGCTCCCTACTCGCCGACTTCCCCGATACGCGCGACTCGCAAGTCAAGCCCCCATCTTGCAGAGCTCGAGGCCACATTGCGCAGGCGCAACAGTTCGGCCGCCCCAAAAGCCACAACCAAGACCCCTATCGCGGCCGAGCCAGTCGTGCCTCAGCCGTCGGGCCAGTCCGCCAGCTCTGTCCCGACCATTATTGCTGCCGGCGCATCGCTCTCGCTTGTGTCTCTTCTCATCTACATGTACATTCTCTGACAACCTGCATCGCTAAACAATAAACATCATGCTGGCCTAGCGATGGTGTGATGGCTATCGCAGGCGGCGCGGGGAGGGGGAGGGGGGAGGCTCGATCACAAAGCTGTTGCACTCGTTCCTGTTGTTTCTTCGGATGATAGCTCAAAGCGGCGAGTGTGGGTGAGGTGGTGGTCCATCATCCCATCTCCCGCCATCGACATGGCGAATCCAGAGTGCAAAGTCCGCAACAACACGGTCGCTCGCCCTTGTCGTCCGACCATGCCGAGCACTGCGCGCTCTGCCGGCACCCACAGCATGCACCCACTTACATCGCCCCGAACACATCGCTGCCGCCTACACCCCCAAGCACAACGGCCCCGATACCCATCACACGCGCACATCACCTTCAAATCCCGATCGCAAGCAGATGCTACCACTCGCGTGGCCAACCCTCACGCCAACCTTGATGCCGCCCGAACCGCCCAAACTCGTCTGACACACCACGTTTTCTCTCTGCCGCTCTTCTCTCTCTCTCTCTCTCTTTCCCTCTCCCGACAGAGACCAGGGCGCCTCACCATGCTATCGCATCCCCTGCTCCCACCACCTGCCATCCTCGCCCTTACCCTCTCCATCCTCATCCCCCTTGCGGTTGCTACCGGCAGTACGTACCGCCACAGCCCCTCCACCCTTCCTCGCCCCGGCCCCCCGCCCCCCACCTACACCATTGCCCATACCTGCCACCCATGTTGTCAGGCCGAAGGGTCATCTTCCACCCACCCCCACAGACCCACACCCACACCCACCCGCACCCACACGGACACATACATACACATACACATACACATACACATACATACATACACATACACATACATACATACAATCCCACACACACACACACATACACACACTCTCACACTTGCACACCCTCCACCCAACCCCCCCCCTC